AGAGAAAATGAAGTAAGAGGAGAAGGTGCTAGAGTGCAGGTGTCTTTTTCAAGGGCATAGATCTCCTTGTGACCTCCTTCCTTCTAAGTAGACTAACACCTCCTAAAACACTACCACCTTCCAATCACATCATTAGCTGGGACCGAGCTGTAAACATGCAAGCTTTTGGGAGACTGTGTAGACCCTGTTAGACTGCAGTGTGTATTGCAGGGAGATAGAAACAGGAATGCCTCAGGGGTTCATTGACAGTTAAAATAATAGTTTTTTTTTCTAATTAAATTGCAAGTTGCTAAATTAAATTACAATTACAAAGAAAAAATTATAATTTTTCTTTTATTGTATCACCTATTCCTGCTTAGGCCCTTCAATGTAGTGAAGGGGGATGTTGAGTTGGAAGCCAGACCAGACTACTTAGTTGAGTCAGTAAAGTACTTGCCACAAAAGCATTAGAACTTGAGTTTGATCCCCTATACTCATAAGAAAGCTAGGTGTGCTGGGGCTGGAGAGATACTCGGTAGCTAAGAGCACCGCCTGCTCTCCCAGAGGACCCAGGTTTGATTGACAATGCACATGGCAGCTTAGAACCATCTGTAACTTCAGTCCCAGGGGATCTGAGGCCCTCTCTGGTCTCCAGTGGCAATAGGCACAAAAGTGGTACAGAGAGATACATGCAGGCAGAGCACCTATATACATTAAATAAATTAATTTTTAAAAAGCCAAGTAGAGTGGTGTGCATGTGTAATCCATCAGTGAGGAAGAGGCAGAGGGTTCACTGACCAGTCAGCCCAACTGAATCAGCAAACTCCACATTAGTGAGACCCTATTAGGACGGGTAGACATTTCCTGAGGAATAACTTTCAAGGTTAGGTTACACACACACACTCTCTCTCTCTTTCTCTCTCTCCAAAAACAGTAATTGATATAGGGCTATGAGGGTGGTGCAATAGAGCATATGATTAGCATGTGTAAAGTCCTGGCTTTGATCCCCAGCACAGCAAAAATAATAATAAATTACACATATTAACCCATCAGAAACTTAGAGCCTCCATCAAAATGTCACAGGATCAGGCAAGTTTCATTCAGTGAAGTCCATGTGTATACAATTAAATAATATTTTCAAATTATGCATGGTGACATAGTCCTATAACCCTAGAACTTGGGAAGTAGAAGCAGAAGGATTAGGAAATCAAGATGAGCCTCAGCTACATAGCCTGGGCTACATGAAATCCTATCTTTAAAAAAAGTACAAAAAAATGTCTTCTAGGTTCTACAGTAGTTCGTGCATAGAGAAAGAGAATGGAATACAGTCAGATTCTGTTGCTAGAATTAATTTTATATAAAAATGGCATTTTAAAACAGTATCTTTAGACTTATTTTAAGTTACTGACATATCATGCTATCTTAAGCCATAAAAATAATTCTTGAAAAAAGAACTTTACTGTGGAAAAACAAAAGAATAGCCCTGAAATCCAGGCCCATCATTGGAACCCAGCTGCTCTACCTCTGAGCTGCATTCCCAGCTCCAGGCTCATAACTGCCAAGATCAGTTCTCATTTGCCCTGCCAAGGAAAGTCTAAGGCACTCCAGGTTATACGAAGCTGAGCGGTCCCACTGAAGGAGCTTGCTTTGTCAGCTTGAGAGAGAACAGTCATGCACAAGGTTGAGTAAGGTTGCGGAGCCCAGGAGAGCAAGATAAAGATGGCAAGGGTCTACGTGCTCTCTTTTTTCAGGATTGTTTTTCTTATTTTTAATTGTGTGTATAGGTATGTGTGTGTGAATGCAGGTGATTGCAGAGGAGTTAGATACCCTGGAGCTGAAGATTCAAGCAGCTCTGAGCTGCCTGATCTGGTTGCTGACGTCGAGCTCTGTTTCCCTGGAAGAGCAGTGCACACTCCTACCATGCTGGGCCTCTTCAGCCCCATACCCCATCCGTGTGCTCCTTAATTCAGATTTTATCACTCGGATTGCTTGACTGGATTTGAGCTTCTAAAATTCCAAGAACATCAGACCCCACTGCTAGGAAGGGCTCAGTTGACACAATCATCTGCTATCACCTGTTTGTCTGGTTGCTGATAGCATAATTCATGAGCAGGGGGGCCGTGCAAGTCAGAGGTCAGCCTCAAGTGTCAGTCCTCGTGAGACATCCACCTTGTTGTTTTGTGATGATCTCTCTCACTAGGACCTGGGGTTCACCAATCTGCTAGGCAGGCTGTCTCCATCTTCCTAGTACTGGGATTATAAGCACTTGCCACCACGCTGGCTTTATGTAGGTGCTGAGGGTTCAGCTCTGGTCCTCACACTCATGCAGCAAGCACGTCAGTGAGTGAGCGATCACTCCAGCCCACACAATTCACTTTTTCTTAGTTCCGTTGTCATTCAGGGACTGGAGGAAGGGGAGCAGAGTCTACTAGTGAAACTTGGCTGGATAAAAATGTACTCCTTTCTGTTCCCCCTTGTTACACTGTGCTACTTAGCCATACCAGATCTCAGGGTTACACCTGCTTTTTGCCACAGCCACACTCTGCACAGAGCATGCCTAGACATTTTTCAGGTAGCCCATGAGATAAGAATAGGAGATTCTGCCTCATGCTGTCAGTTTAGGCTATCCCTAGGTTCTTACCTAATCACCCAGACAAGGCCATCGTGGCTACACAACAGACCGTTGAGTCCAGTGACCCCCAGGCCAGATGCACATTCAGTCTAGGACAGGTCCTAGACAAAAGCAAGTGATAGTAACAGCCCTGCTAAACATACACCCAGCCACTTACTTAGAAAGTGTGAGAAAGGGGCCACCCTAGCCATCTGCCTCAAGGGTGGGGCTGTAAGTGTAGAAGAGAATAGACAGAAGTTTTTTGTTCTCTCGGGCTTGGGAATCTTCCTGTAAAAGTCAGATTTTTGCAACAAGGAGGTCTGTTTCAGACAAGGAGTTTAAACTGTACATGTAGAATCTCTAAAGTCAGTCTTGATGTCCCCAGTTCCCTGGGATACTTTCCCAAGCCCTGCTCTAACCTCACATGACTCAGTTTTGACTTGAAGAAGAACTCTCTATCGCCTCTCTGGCCCCATTTGCAGGGTTTCCAAGTGTTATGTCTTAGTGTCTCCTCCCTCTCTGTCCCTTGCTTGTTCTTGAACAGGACTGGCTTCCTAAGCTGTTAGCTTGGGAAAAGAGCTAGAATTCAAATACCAGAAGAGAGTAAAGTGTTACGTCTGCTCCTAAGAGGTCATCTCTCATCGATTCTTGAATGATGGAGCTCAAAGCTGGCAGGAGGAATGGGATGGAGACTTGTGGGCAGGGAGGGGAGCCTGTAAAAGGGATAGAAATTTGAAAAGGGCCCGAGATTTGGCAGCATGGACAGACTCCATGTAACTGTGTTTTTGGTCTTCCTGGGTTTCTTTTTTTTAAGACCTGCTGTGTGACTTCAGGAAAGCCTAGTCATTGTGTTCAGGTAGAGTGTGAAGAGAAGACCTAGGAAGGGAGAGTGTCCATCCAGGAGCACAGGGCATGCTCAGAGAGGAGCCAGGACTAGGCCACGTTCCCTGTCTTCTGGTGCCATGCTTCTCATCTGTGCTCGTTCACTGCTCTGTCTTCTGGGCTAGAGGGAGTGAGGGCCCTGGGACAGAAAGCATAGTACCCTTCCTTCTCTTTTTGCCTGCAGTTAAGCCAGGCAGTGTGAGGAACATCATTCAGCACTTTGAGAACAGCCATCAGTATGATGCCCCAGAGCCGGGGACACAACGACTCTCAACAGGAAGCTTTCCTGAGGACCTGCTGGAGAGTGACAGGTAGCTGTAGCTGGACGGGGCCCACCAGCTGCCCAAGACATAGGGCATGGGCAGGCTTCCGCACTAGGGTTTAATTCCCACTGCCTTGCTCCTCTCCACGAGACTATGAGGTCGCAACTAGAGCCTGCCCACCCTAAGTAGCTGCAGAAAGCATAATGTGTTGACAATTAGGCCCGTGGAAGGTCAGGAAGGCAGCCTTCAGGTTGACCCCCTAACTACTGAGCAGCTCCATCCCAAAATGGAGCTGCTGGATTACATTATCCGGCAGCCAATCAGGAAGCACTGGGTAATATGAATAAAAGACTTTGGAGGGGACAGAGGGAAGTCTTGGAAAATAAAAGGTCCAGAGAGGCACAAGAGTCTTTGCCTATTAAGAAGAAAGTTTAAGCTAGGTGAGATGTTGCACACCTTTAATCCCACCCTGCACTAGAGAGGCAGAGGCAGGAGGATCTCTGTGAGTTCCAGGCCATCCTGGTCTATGTTGTCTCTGAAAAAATAATAATAATTTTTAAAAATGCTTAAAAAGGCGTTTCTGCTGACACTTTTAAAGACAAGCAATAACTGGGAATGAGTCGTCTGTCTCAGCAGACCATAGCATCAGTTGGCTCAAGACAGATGATTCTTCCCTTGGAAAAGAAAAGGAGGACAGGTTTGGTGACACGTGTCTGATCTCAGCACTCCAGAGACTGAGACAGGAGGATCACTAGGAGTTCAGTGCGAGGCTAGGCTACAAAATAAGACCCTGTCTCACAGAGGGTGGGTCGGGATTGGGCTGTCTTGTTTCTGCATCTCCGTCAGGTATCAGATTCTAAACAAGGATGTGTGTGTGGTTTTAACACATGCTCTGAGATTGCCTTGCCCCTGACTGCCATGCAGCTGTCAAGTCATGGCTACAGCCAGCTTTAAAATGAAGACTGCCTCTAGTCAGAAATGTCTGAGATTCCTCAAGTTGTCCTTAGTGCAGTACTGTAGCCTTTTGTATAGGAAAATAATCCTGTTGTACAGTCAAGCCACTGAGGAACAGAGGTAGACAGAGAGGCAAGTTCGAAGGCAGCAGTGTAGATATTCGAGCCATTTTGCCTTTAAAATAGCCGTCTAAGTCAGAATTCTTGCTTGAATGCAAGTTTATTCTCTGTTTTATATTAGCCCTTCATAAAACTTAGTGCAGGATTTAGGCATAGTAAGAGTTGACAAAGATTTTGGAACAGTAACCTTTAGATTTGTACTGTGGAGAGAGGTTGAATTCTAACATTTGTAGGTAAATTAGATATGAATTACAGAATTGCTGTGACAGATGTGATCATTTAAATATGTCAGATATTTAAGTTTGGGAAATGTCAATACCTTGAGAAAACATTTGGAAACACAAACTTGCACTCTTGCCCTTGCTAGGTAAATCTGCTCTACCTGAGACAGTCACCAAAATCTTAAAAAATAAAAATGAAATCCAAAGCAGAAGCCTTTGGATTTTACTGTAAATTCCTTGGCAATCTTGGGAGATAGTGAAGACAGTTTAGATTGCTGTAGATACTTGGCAAGTGTTGAGTGCCCAAAGGTTCTTCTAGGAAGTTCCAAGGCTTTGCAGCCCTCTAACCCTACTGGAAGAGGTTTGTAGTGCTGACTGAAGACCCAGGAAACAATGTGAGTTGATATGGAGTAGAATTGTTCTCGTAGCTTTCAGAGGGGTACGTTCAGTAGGACATCAGTGGTCAAGATGTTTGCAGTCCTGAAGACAAATTCAGACCCTCACGAGGTGAGCTCTGTGCTGACTCCTCTGGCCTTTTAGAGAAAGTGTAAATGAAAATTCAAGGTACCCGGCTCCTTGTTGCAGCAGCCTGCTTTACTACCAAGTGCTCTCCAGACATCTCAAGGCCTTGTGTGGTTCCAGGCACAGAGCAGGATATAGATTAGTAACAAAGGACCAGCCCAGCAGGGCCTGGTGATGCATCCAGGGGCATCTAGGGGTCAGAGATGCCCACTGTGTTGAGGCCGATGCACTGCAGGACTCAACAAAAATCAGTTCTCAGTTGTCAGCGTCTCACCAAGCCCCAAGGATGCTTGTTAGCCAAGCAGGACATCCAGAGATGAGGCCCTGCCTGTCTATAACCCAGCCCTGGAAGCATTCTCCCAGCCATTCCTCCCTGGGAAGGAAATAGAAGCACCTTTAGGAAGGGTGCTGTCAGAGGAGGGAAAGGAGAAATCTACGTCACAGCTAGAGATAGAGTGCCTCAGCAGACAACATCTTCTGACACACAGCCTGGGGAATTACAGAACCAAGCTGTAGGAACCGTAACTATACCTCCCACAAAGAGGATCAGAGTCAGAGAAGAGAGTAGCTGGTCCAGAACAGGCCATGGGATGGCCTCCAGGGCAGTGGACCTTATGGCTCCTGATGAAGGACTGTAGTATCCATGGATCTTCTGAAAGGATCATGGTGTCCTAGGCATCTGGACACACCACAAGACTGATTCTCTTAGCCTCGCGCTTCTCAGCCTGAGTGGCAACCCCTCTGGGAGTTGAACAATGGCCCTTTCACAGGTGTTGCCTATCAGATACTTAGGATTCATAACAGTAAAAAATTGCAGTTATGAAGTAGCAATGGAAATAATTTTGTGGTTGGGGATCACCGCAACATGAGGAACTATATTAAAGGATCGCAGCATTAGGAAGGCTGAGAACCACTGTCTTAGCTCCTGTCTTCACCTTGCTCATAGCTCAAGGTGAAGAAGAGAAACTGTCCAGTAAGCCCACCGAGGAGAGCAGAGAGTCTGTAGAGCAGCCAGAGTGGCTTGTCACTGTGCAGCTTCTGGACCCTAATGTTTGGGCCTTTCAGGGCCAGGTGGAAAACCTGTGGTATTGAGGCACCTTTGAAGTGGGATGACAAAGTAAAAGCTAGCCATAGTGTCAGGTCTCAGTTTCCTGTCCCTCTCTGGCAGTTCACGCTCAGAGATTCGCCTGGGCCGCTCTGAGAGCCTCAAGGGACGGGAAGAGATGAAGCGATCTCGGAAAGCAGAGAACGTGCCCCGATCTCGAAGTGATGTTGACATGGATGCTGCTGCTGAGGCCACTCGTCTTCATCAGTCAGCCTCGTCCTCTGCCTCCAGCCTCTCCACCAGGTGAGTAACCTCCAGTGACTCTATTGCTGGTTAGTGTGGTTAGATGTTTTATTATCATCATCATCATCATCATATATTCAGAGCTGGTATTTTCTCCTCAGGTCTCTTGAGAACCCAACCCCTCCCTTCACACCCAAAATGGGCCGCAGGTGAGTGGTGAGCATTGTGGTACCTCTGTTTGGTATCTCTGGGGCACATCTGTGTTCAACCACCTTCACACATCTAGGGATGGCTAGATGTGCGTCTCTTCTCCATAGGCTTGGTTGGTAAAAGCAGATGGGGGTGGGGAGCCAGGCTGGAGAGATGGCTCAGCAGTTAAGAGTACTGGCTGCTCTTCCAGAGGTCCTGAGTTCAATTTCCAGCAACCACATGGTGGCTCACAGCCATCTCTAGTGAAATCTGATGCCCTCTTCTGGTATAAAGTCGTAAATGCAGATAGAGCACTCATATACATAAAATAAATAATTTTTTTTTTTTAGAAGAAGCAGGTTGGGTAGGAAAGTGACAGACTCCTTGAATGTAAGTTACCTACAAGTGAAGCTGAGCTCCCCATTTTCTCCAGGAGCATCGAGTCCCCCAATCTGGGGTTCTGTACAGATGTCCTTCCCCACCTTCTGGAGGATGATCTGGGCCAGCTGTCTGACCTGGAGCCAGAGCCAGATGTCCAAAACTGGCAGCATACCGTGGGCAAGGACGTGGTGGCAGGGCTGACGCAGAGGGAGATCGACCGGCAGGAGGTCATCAATGGTGAGGAGAACATGCCGTCCCCCTCATCTCCACGCTCGCCTGTGGGTAGAGAGTCTCCAAGGTCACCTCACTCTGGCCTTAGCCCAAGGGGAGAGAAACCAGCACTCCACTTCCCCAAAGAGAAGTGTGATGTGGGGACCAGACCAATGGTTCAGTCTGTGGGTCTCATCCCCCCCCAGGGGGCCGCACATCAGATATTTACACCACAGTTCCTAACAGTAGAAAAATTACAGTTATGAAATAGTAACGAAATAATTCTATGGTGGGGCTCACCACAACACGGGGAGCTGTATTAATGGTTGCAACATTAAGAAGGTTGGAAACCCCTGCTCTAGACACTTGCTAATCTTTCCCCGCCTCTCTTTGTCACAACCCCTGCTCAGAGCTGTTTGTGACAGAAGCATCCCACCTGCGCACACTGCGGGTCCTGGACCTCATCTTCTACCAGCGCATGAAAAAGGAGAACCTGATGCCTCGGGACGAGCTGGCGAGGCTCTTCCCTAACCTGCCTGAGCTCATAGAGATTCACAGTAAGGAGCCTGCGTCCCCCAGTCTGTTCTCCCGCCTTCCACTCCGTTCCAGCTTGAACCCCATCTTGATCCTCCTAAGTAAATAACCCCACTACTCACTACTCCTGCCAGGAGAAGCTGATGGATAGCAGTAAAGGTTCCCAGACTTCTCCATGGCCCTACTGTCAAAAATGCCTTTTCTCCTAGTCATAAAGTGTCTAGCAGTGTGGCTCAACCCCAGGCATTTCTGCTTCTCCCTTCTTACCACAGATTCCTGGTGTGAAGCCATGAAGAAGCTCCGGGAGGAGGGTCCCATTATCCGAGACATCAGTGACCTCATGCTGGCTCGGGTATGGCAGGGAGGAGGTTGGAGGAAGCAAGATCCCTTTACCTAAGACTAAGGAATTTGACAGAGAAGAGGATAGCCTGGGGCGGGAGGGGTGCTGCTCCCTGGCAGGAGTGTGATACCTGGACCATGTCCTTTCTGCCTCTTCAGTTTGATGGCCCTGCCCGAGAGGAACTCCAGCAAGTAGCTGCACAATTCTGTTCCTATCAGTCCATAGCCCTAGAGCTAATCAAGACTAAACAGCGTAAAGAGAGCCGGTTCCAGCTCTTCATGCAGGTATCCTGGGCTGTGTCTTAACCCTCCCTCAGCTCTGTCATGCTCACCAAAAATCTCCTAACCTCTCCTGGCCCCAACCTTGTCTCCTCTGCTGAGGAGAGCAGCTAGCAGTGACCTCTGACTACCCACATCACTACACCAGTACTGTAAAGCATGGCCTCTAGAGCCAAAGACGCCTTTGGTTGAGAAGTACTCTGGACCAGCAGGCAGAAGGCCTGGCTTGCCTACCGGAACTAGTGTGTACTTTTCTGTAAAGTGGGAATGATTCTGCCCTTCTGTTCTGACCGTCAAAAGACAACAACCTGGCAACCTCAACCCCTCCCTAAATGTTGAAGGGAAAAACTGCCGCCATTTTCAAGTGGCCCATCTGGGGTTAGGACATTTCTGCTCATCCTTGGCATTTTCACAGCCACCTTAGCCCGGAACCCTACAGGCAGCTCCCCCTCACTCGTTGACCCTTTCCTCTATCTGCTTCTTGCTGTCCAGGAGGCTGAGAGCCACCCCCAGTGCCGGCGGCTGCAGCTTCGAGACCTGATCATCTCTGAAATGCAGAGGCTCACCAAGTACCCGCTGCTGCTAGAGAGCATCATCAAGCACACAGAGGGTAGGGCACGGGGAGGGCTGGTGCCGTGTGGCCTCGGATGTCCTTGCTTTGTCACAGTTTTGTGATCTTGGCAAGCCTAGACCTTGAGGTCCTTGGTGTCTTCTTCCTTGTCCTGGTACAGGAAGTCTCAGAGAGAATGATTGTAAATGTGGTTTGGAAATACGAAGCCCTGCACAGCAGGGAGAGCAAGGCCACTCCTGGTTTCTGGGGCCTGTGGGAGCCCAGCTGGGAGACCGGCTCCCACATTTTACAACAGGGTACTCTTGAGGAATAAGGGATAAGAGATATTAGATAGAAGGACAGAGGGGAGAGAAACAGAAACACAGGACAGCCTCGGGAGGGCCTGGATCCTTATCCACCGGCCCCTCCTGACTCTTCTAAAGGGCTATTTATAGGAATGCCAAGGGGTGGAGCAAAAGACCTCCCCCTAGCTCAACTAAGTGTAGACCCTTCTGATCACCAGAAACCATGCATATGGTCAAGCAATCCTCTAATGTATCTCTGCTGGGTAAAGCAAGCTCAGATCTCACTAGAAAACTTTTGTGGGCCTCCACAGGGGCCTTTATAGTAACCAGGAAGCATGGACCCAGGGGCTGGCCCTTGAGGGCGTCTTGGCCCCTCTGGGCAACTGTGAGCTCCTACCAGGGCTATACTGGATTTTAGACCCATTAATACCTCTCCTGCGTGCCTCTGTAATGGACAAAAGCTATAACCAGGGGACTAGCAAGATGACTCAACAGAAATCCACAGAAAAGGATAGAAGAAGAGAAAGAACCAACATGACAGAGGTGTCCTCTGATCTTAACATAGGCACTGTGGCATGGGTGCCCACACATACACATACACCACAATATTAAATAAGCAAATAATGCTAGACCGTATGTAACACAGAGTGATGAGCGTATGCACTTGGCAGGCAGAAGCACTAACTATCGGACATTTCCCCCCTGTTTGGTAGGTGGCACATCTGAGCATGAAAAGCTTTGCCGTGCCCGGGACCAGTGCCGAGAGATTCTCAAGTTTGTAAATGAAGCAGTGAAGCAGACAGAGAACCGTCACCGATTAGAGAGCTACCAGAAACGCCTGGATGCCACTGCCCTAGAGCGGGCCAGCAACCCCTTAGCAGCAGAGTTCAAGGTAGGAGGTGGAGGCTACAACACTGGCAGCCCCTCACACATCCTTCCTGGGCTCCCTTAGGAGCAGAACTCGAGTCAGGGCCCAGAGAGTCTCAGAGGACAGAGACATGGACTGCCTGTGATAGGGTGGCATGGTCAGGCCCGGGGAGACACGCCCTATTAATGTCACTCACCCCTAGGTGAAGAAGAATGGACAGCCTCACCAAGTAAAGACTAGATGTTGGGACTCAGCCTAAGGAAATAGAATGGGGTGGGATGTGAGGTGCGGTGTGATAATGTAAAGGGAATAAAGCTGAAGAGAAGGTCAGGAAAGCAACACTGTCTCTCTCCTTGGGACAGCACGTAGTAGGCCACATGAGATCCCAAGTCAAAGCCCTTGGTGTGTGCCCCAGAGCACCACAGGCGCAGGGCTTCATAGCACACACCACTTCTCTCCATCCCTGCCAGAGCAGGGTTACGGTAACAGTCGTTTCCTGCCCATTGATTCCCCTACACAGTGGTCTCTTAAATACTCGTGTGAATGCAGTGATGGTGTCTGCTTTACAGAGCCTGGATCTTACGACAAGGAAGATGATCCATGAGGGGCCCCTGACCTGGAGGATCAGCAAAGACAAGACCCTGGGTATGTGCCAGGGACTAGAAATGGGAGGGGACCTGTGGTAAGTGTGCTTCCCCAGGGTTCGTTCTTGTCTGCTGCCCTAACGGGATAGTGGGGTACTGGGGAGGCGTACGCAGTGCAGCCAGCATGGCATCATGCACCGTGTGGGAAGGGAGGACATAGAGGCAAAAGAGCCTCCTAGTCCTGGGCATGGGCATCTAATAGCCTCTGGGTGAGTGAGCAACAGGGATTGTCTTCATTCCCAGACCTCCAGGTGCTGTTACTGGAGGACCTGCTGGTGCTGCTGCAGAGACAAGAGGAGAGGCTGCTGCTGAAGTGCCACAGCAAGACAGCTGTGGGCTCCTCAGACAGCAAGCAGACCTTCAGCCCTGTGCTAAAGCTCAACGCTGTGCTCGTCCGCTCCGTGGCCACAGGTACCCGTGAGGAGATGAGCCAGCGAGCCTGGGGCTCTACAAGACTCAATGTCCTGTGTTCCTTTCCTATCCTGACCAGTCTAAGCAGGGGGTGGTCAACCTTAAAGGACCATGATGGATGGGATGGGTGCACTGGGTGGGGCTGACGACAAAAGCAAGATTGGAAGAAATGGGAGTCAGCGTAAAGAATAGGACAATAGATCTTGTTGCAGGAATGCCTTGGGCTGGGCAGAGTTTGGAAAGAAACCACACCACTGCACAGGCCCAAGTCCAGGAGTTTGAGGTTGCAGGGCAAAGTATGATACAGTGAGAAAGGGCAGGAGTCAGCAACCACATTCTCTGGGGTCACCTTCTTCTATGACACCTGACCTCCCTAAGCAGCTCAAAAAGGATGGGGTAGACATGGAAAGATTCGGTAAGCCCTGAGCATGGTATGCACATCAGCCCTCAGTTAGTAGAGAAAGAGGGAAGTAGGACTGACCCTGACAGATGTCACTGGGGACCCATACTTGCCAGTATCTTTTGTGGGTGAGTACCAATTGATGCTGATGATCCAGCTATATCTCACAGTGTTTTCTTCAGGTTGGGGCCCATGTCTGCCATGCCCAGTGTAGACTCTCTGCCTTCCTTTCCTCACACAGATAAACGAGCCTTCTTCATCATCTGCACCTCTGAACTGGGCCCTCCCCAGATCTATGAGCTGGTTGCATTGACATCATCAGACAAGAATATGTGAGAATTGATTGTGGGGTCCCATGTAACTTCTGTCCTCTTGGAACCAGAGTGGTGTGTAGAAGAATTTGAACAGCGAGGCCAGGGCTGGGCCCCAGAGCAGTTCCTGGATGGAGGACCAAGGAGAGAAGTTAGGAGACGACATAGGCCATCAGCCCAGGGTATAACCAGGCCTTATAACCCAGGCCCTGGCTCCTCCCAACACTGACTGCCAGAGGTGGCCTGCCACAAGGGGCAGAGACAGGTTAAACCAGACACGTTCTTCCCCCTGGGTTTTCATCTGTGTAGTGTTATTTTGGGAGCGGGGAATGGGGTCTATCAATGTGTTGTGGTAGCTATGAGTCATACAAACCCAGGGGAAGAGCCAGTGGGAAGTGTTGATGGACATAGAGGCCGGCTAGCAAAGGTCCTTGAGACAGGATGTGGAGAGGGCTTTGAAGGTTTTGGCAGTGGGGTCCACAGAGGACAGGGGCTGTTCCTGGCCTTATTCTCACCACTGTTCTTGTGTTTCTGCCGAGCAACAGATGGATGGAGCTCTTAGAAGAGGCTGTGCAGAATGCCACCAAGCACCCTGGAGCTGCCCCAACAGCCCTCCATCCCTCACCACCAGGATCCCAGGAGCCAATCTACCAGGGCTCCCCCACTAGCAGGTGTGTGCTTAGCTCTCCCACTCCCAGCACCATCCCCATCCAACCTGGCTCTTTCTTGGTGCTCCTCAGCCTTTCGTCACTCGGGCAGATAGCCTCCACTGTCTGGGAAATCCCACTGGGAAGCAGCCCCGGGCTCTGACAGATAGGGGAACATGCCTCTGCTGCTTGGCCTCCTGACCTCCCTGCCCTCACCCACTACCTCCGACTATATAACGCCGACTGCCCCTGAAGCAGGGTGTGGTGTAGAATGCAGCCAGGGAAGCTAGGCCAACGCCACCTGCTGCTTTGCCAGCCTGCGCTGCCCATTCAGGTGATGAGGCCCAGCTCCTTCCTTGCCTGTGAACGATGTGAGGGCACCAGTCTGGGTCTCATGACACCTTGACCAGGCTGGCAGAGCTAGAAATTAACACCAGGTGGGTTTCTTCCCTCAGGGTAGAAATAAATGACTCGGACGTTTACCATACTGAACCAGAACCCAAGGAACTGTCTGGAGGTAAGGCCACTCGCCTTCTCGTGGGAGACCAGCATAGTCCATTTTTTTCTTGTAGGTATGGGTCAGATTAGGGTGTCAGGTGATGGGAGAGTCCGTCAGGGCCAGAGACACGAGAAGTACCATTTGATGAAACGTAGGGGAGAAACGGGAAATTGGGGTCCAGGAGAGACTGACAGCTTGACCAACCCCGCTGCCTCCGTGGGTAACGGGTCAGCAGGAGAAAGGCCCTGCCTGCTGAGGACAGAGTCAGAGGAGTGGGTAACAGGGAGCTAAGATAGCATTTTGGGATGGGATGTAGAAGCACAGTTTTCAGGTAACTTCTCTTTGAGGTTGTTTGTTTTTAAATCACTTCAGCTCTTGCGTGTGAAGAAAAATGTAGAGTTCCCAGCCTGTGTCACTCACTCTGTTTCCTTCCACGTAGAGTGTCTTCCTCTGTCCCACATGTCCTTCACAGCTCTGTCCAGCAGCTATTGTTATGTGTGTCAATTCATAGTATAACCAGCACTGCTGATGCCCATGCCCTGTCTTCTCTCCATAATACTCGCCACCTTCTAACAAATGGCCCATTTCCTAGTTTATTTTGATTCCGAGTCCCTCCACTAAGACCTTAAGGCTCCACCCCAGACACAAGTCTTTATTTGTCTGCTGGTATGTGACAGGGGTCTGGTGTGGTGGTGGCCACAGGAGGTGCTCCATGAATTTCCATAGAGCTTACCAACCAGTGTCCCCAAGCCCTGGGTCCACAGCTGGACATGGGGCCACCTCATTCTTCTCTCCCACGCCCTAACACACTCATCCAACACAGGCCCTGGGCCCCCGCAGAGACTTCAAGAAGAGCCTGAGCTGGTAGCACAAGAAGAGCCTGAGCAGGAGGAGGATGCAGAGGAGCTGAGAGCCCTGCCTCACCCTTCCCCCTCCCTGGATGGCGAAAACAGAGGCATCAGGACAAGGGACCCTGTCCTTCTGGCCCTCGCAGGCCCTCTCCTCATGGAGGGACTTGCTGATGCTGCCCTGGAGGATGGTGAGTAGATCCTGTCATTGGCCCTGGTACCCCAGTAGCATAGCCTGTACGAATTTCACCTTCTACCTACTCAAAGGTTCTCACTAGTTATACTCGAGGGGAGCTGGATGCAAGAACACCAGCTAGTTGGCCAGAAACCCACCAGCTCCACCCTTAGACTGCAGCAGATGGACTGAGCAGAGATAGACCGGAGCAATGTCCCCTCATCTCCCCTGAGCTTCCCCATTCCTGGGCTGTGTGCAGTCCTTCACTAGGAGGCCATCACTGTCGTTCCTGCAGTGGAGAACTTGCGGCACCTGATCCTGTGGAGCCTGCTGCCCGGCCACACTGTGAAGACTCAGGCTGCTGGCGAGCCTGAGGATGACCTCACTCCCACCCCTTCCGTCACCAGCATCACCTCTCACCCCTGGGACCCAGGGTCCCCAGGGCAGGCGCTCACTATAGGTGACAACACCCAGCTTCTGAGGCCAGAGGAGGAGGAGGAGGAGGATGTGGCTCTCTGGTCTCTGGCACACCTGCCCCCAAGGACCAGAAATTCTGGCATCTGGGACTCTCCTGAGCTGGCTAGGAATCCAGCTGAAGAGGCTTCAAGCACAGGACCAGCAGGAAATTACAAAGTTGTAAGAAAAGGTAAAATACGTTGTGTCCATTGTGTTCACACTTGTGCTGGGGTGGAGATGAGTGTCGCAGGCAGACACCTCTTTTCCCATCTTTCTCCTGGATCCTGTGTGAGCAGACTGGCATTAGGACCTGGGGGAAGAAGACATGTTGATGTGAAGAGACTTTGGAGTCAGACAGGCGAGGCTCAAAGCAGATCTCATTTTCCTTCTGTAATATAGAACATTTTCTACCTCCCTCCGCAGCCAGCACGGATCAACTTCCAGGAAAGGCTTTTTGCTATTCTTCACTGAAGATGTAGTCTAAAGAAAAAAATGTCACTTTTCTTCCCATGAGACTCGGGCTTAGAAAGATGAGGCCAAATGTCTGTAGCCTGTTATTCCAGAAAGTGGCTGAGCACACAGGGCTCAAGACAAAAGTGGGAAGACCTTTGGGGCTGCTCTGGGAGCAAGTGCACAGAGTGGTAGAGGCTGTCCCAAGCTGGGGACACTGTGGGCAGCTGTGACAACCCCAGCCAGGTTTGAATAGACCAGTAAGGCTGTGGAGGAGGGAGGCTCCCTGAGGAGTGTGACCAGAACGGTGACACCAAGCCTGGGCCACTGGAGGCTGAGAGGATTGTCTGACATCGGCCCCTGTGCCTTTGCTGCCCCCTGCCCTGTTGGCCAAAGGCTGCCTCTCCTGGGCTTCTGGGGACTGACCGGCCTGCTTCTGCTCTCCCAAGGTGACTTGGTGGAATGTTCTCTGCAGCTCCTGGGACATGGCCATGTATGATCTTGTACTCACTTTGTTCTTTTCTTCCTTTATTCTCGCTATCCCCCGACATGTCCACTTCTTCCTCCCTCTCCTTCACGCTCTCTCCCTCCTTCCCTACCTTGTCTCTCAGTCTCTCTTCCCACTGGTGGTGGTGGTGTCGGTGCGGCCAAGGTGGCGGGCAGCAAAGTTACCCCTGCACTACCAGAGAGTGGCCAGTCAGAGTCTGAGCTATCTGAAGTGGAAGGCGGAGCACAGGCTACGGGTAATCAACGACTTCTCCTTGAAGCCCAGGCCAGGCCAGGCCATAGCAGGGGTCCCATGGGTTCTTTACCCACAAACGTCCTCTGTGCTCCCTGAGCTGAGACGGTGGGAAGTAGCTCGTGAGCCCGAGACAGGAAGGAGACCTGCACCTCCAGCTCGGAGAAACCACTCACTGGGAGACAGAAGCCCATTTCAGAGCTTTCAGCCTATGCTCAGGTCTGGAAGAAAGCAAGAAACTGGCCAATGCCCACACTCCAGTGTACCCACCCTGACATCCTGAGCAACCACTTCCCAACCCTGTCCACTACTCTAGCACTGCGATGAGAGAAGCTTCGCATGGCTTTGCAGGTTCCTTGTGTTTCTCCATGGTGGGGCTCTCCAGGGACCCTTGACATACTTCTGCCAGCTGTCTCTGAGCTCCCCCATCGGTGATGTTTCTAGGGGATGGTGACCTGTAGGGCAGTGCTGACATGCATCAGGAGACTATGAACTGAGACCATGGAAATACTGCTGTCTGCTGCTTTCCAGGGGGCCTAAACCTCTTGCCCCTTCCTTTCATGGATGGGGGCCGCTCTGCGTCTCCCTCAGCATAACACCTCCATCTAGCCCCTTCTCCACTCTCATCACTGAGCATCTTCCCCGGCAGGTGGCCAGCCTGCAAGCCCTTGCCATCTAAAGAGAACAGGGCCTCTGGGAGCTGGTGGGCAGCATGGGCCTGCATGCACCAGGTTGTCTGTAGAAGCCTCCCTGGCCTGTTCTGCCACAGGGCACACTGAGGGAGTGGGAGAAGGACTTAGGCATCTCTGCTTGTCTAATTTCTTTCTCTTGCCCTTGGTACAGGGAACTGTTTTTATGTCAGCATGCCAGCAGGACCTCTGGACTCCAGCACTGAACCTACCGGGACACCCCTGAGTCCCTCCCAGCCTCAGCACCAGAGGAGGGGCGTTGGCAATCAGATGGGTTCCAGCTCTTCTCCCCACAGCCTGGTCCCCAGGGATGTGGGTGTTATCTTCCATACCATTGAGCAGCTTACCATCAAGCTCCACAGGCTCAAGGTAAGGAGCTTGGCCTTGGGTCAGAAAGCCTTCCGTCCATCACCTGGGACACTTACATTCACATAGTAAATGTTTTGGGTGTGTAGCTGTGCATATACACATAAATGTGTATGGAGCTGAGCCTGGGGCTTCACATATGCCAAACAAACGCCATTAAGCTACATCCCCAACTCCGGAAGTGTGTGTCTTCACTGGACTCCTAGGCCACCTTCATCTTCAGCTCACCCTGCCACACCCTCTGAGCCTTAGCCCTGGGACTCAGACACTCTCTTCCTACAACTCTTCCAGGACATGGAGCTGGCCCATCGGGAGCTTCTCAAGTCCCTTGGAGGAGAGTCATCTGGTGGGACCACTCCTGTGGGCAGTTTTCACACAGAGACAGCCAGGTGGACAGACCACTGTCTCTCTCCTCCAGCCAAGGAAGCCCTGGCCTCTGACTCCCAAACCAGTCAGGAACAGGGGTCCTGCCCTGAAGAAGGTGAGTGAAGCCAATTCCTGCGTGTGCCACCTTGAGAGAATGCATAACCAAGCAGTGAAGGGTGGTCCCATGACTCTTTCCCCTCGAGGTGTAACCAACACGTTCCCTCAGCTTCAGAAAGGGATCTTTGCCAGACATAGTGGCACACACCTTTAATCCCTGCACTCGGGAAGCAGAGGCAGCTGGATTTCCGTGAGTTGAAGGCCAGCCAGGACTACATAGTGAGAAAAGGTGTGTCAGAGAACCACCTCAGCTGTCCGCTCTTGCCTTCCACCCTGAGGCAGGGTCTGTGTTCACCGCTGGGTAAGCCAGGCTCGCTGGCCTGTAAGTTTCTTGGGGGTTCTCCTGTCCACTGTCCCTATGGCCAGAGACCTGGGGCTACAGATCTGCACCCCCACATCCAGGTTTACGTAGATCCTGGGGATCCGATCTCCAGCCCTCAGGTGTGCATGGCAGTGCCTCTCCACCGAACTCTCTCGAGCCCCAGAAAGGGATCTTTTTAGGGAAGCCACACAGAAGCTCCCTCCAAATAGGGACCAGAACAGAACCCCCTTCTTAAAATCCTTTAAGTGTATGTGGATACTTGGTCTGCGTGTCAATCTGTACACCACATACATGCAGTGCCTAAAAAGGCCAGTGATGACTTTAGTCCCATGGAGCTGGAGTTACAGCTGCTTGTGAGCTGCCCTGTGGGTGATGGGAATTGAACCTGGGTCTTCTAAAAGAGCAGCAAGGCTTCTTAACTGCTGAGCCACCCCTCCATCCCCCAGAACCCTCTTTTTATGTTGAGGTGTTCATGCACCAGGAGGGCCTGATTTTACCTCTGCTGCAGGTTCTCAGTGGCTCAGATCTGGATTAGGAGGGAAGGCCACTGCCATGGCCTGACTTAAAACCCTGACCTGTCTTGGTTTGGGAGGCCATACAGAAGTGGAGTTCTCATGGACCTGCTAAAGTCCCACAAGAAACAAGGATCGGACTGACAAGGTGGCTCAGTGTTTAAAGGCATTTGCCACCCAGGCTGACCATGAGTTCAAGCCCCAGGACTCACACGGTGGAAGGAGAGGACTGACTCCTGGAGGTAGTCCAGCCTCCACACACACTCCATACACCTAAGCAAAATTATTTTCATACAAGTAAAGGAGGGTTTCTGGAGAAGAAAGCTTTGTCACCGACAGCTGGTGCTGAAGAGTAAGCCAGGGACTTGAAACAGCATCACAAACCTAGCCAGCTTCTGAACGCTCGCCTTCCTCCCACAGGCTCCGACAGTGCCACAGATACAGCTGCATCACCAGGACCATAGCCATCCAGACAACCAGAGCCTCGGCTTCTCCACTCTGCCAGAGTCTGGCCTGAGCCAGAGTGCAACACTAGGAGAGCCAAGCCTCCCCTGGAAAGATGCTGCAGAGGCCAGGGAGAGACTTGCATGTTGCTTGGTCTGTTCACATTGGACAGAGTCCAGTTTCAGTGTCTCTCCCTATTAGCCAAGTCTCCATGGTTCTCATCTCCTAAGCATGCTGAGCACCACAGAACGGCCTCCTGCAGTGATCGACCCCTTTACCCCACATAGCTCCCTGCATGTGTGGGGTGTGCCGTGTGCATAGTACCCTCAGGTGTGCAAGTCAGAGGAGGAGGAGGCTCTTGTGTAAATGCACTTTTTTCCTCTCCTCCTTCCGAGGCCCGAGGCCGCTGCGTGCCTGGCTCTCCTCTCGTCCCTTTGCTTTCCTTTAAATGTGTCTATTGTATGTGCGTTTTTTGCCGTTGTAAATAACTTAGCCGTTTTTCTGTCCCTGGCATGCTCACCAGTCAGAGACAGCTAAGAGGAGAGCCAGTCAGCAGCCCAGCAGGGGTGGGGACTGTCTGTGTCCCAGACTCCAGCCCTGCCTGTCAAGCTCCAGGCCCTCCTCTGAAGCCGAGGCCTTCTCATGTCAGATGAGCCTGTGGGGAGCGGCTTGCCTGACCCACGCCCACCCCTTCCCTCCCTGCCCCCTAGAAACAAGTACAGCAGGTAGGGAACTCAAAACAGACCCTAAGAGAGCAGAATCCCTGCGTTACTTCAGGACCCTTCCCCAGGGGTTCTCCATGTCCTCACTCCACTCCCCACTGGTGAACATACACACTGTGCTAGGTGTATATATACATATATATAAATATATATAATATATAAAATAGAGATATGGAAATGACTGTTTTGCTGTTAAAATAATGTATACTCTTATTTTCCTCCTTTCATGGTTAAGATTTTTTTAAAGAAAAGTTAAATATTCTTCCATTGTGGTTGTATGATTCTTAGACTGATACAGGATGTTGGTTGTGACTGGTCAAGAATGGATAGAGGGAGCCAGGAGAGCCCCTGCCACGCCATCCCACACCAGGTCTTCCCACCTCTCCCGAAGTTTCATGTGTGTACCTTCTCAGAAGAGGTTGGGCAAGTGACCCTGGCCCAAAAAAGATATTGTGGTTACTTCACACAAAGGAACAGAGATCTCAAGACCTACCCTCAGCTGTAAAACGTGAAGAAAGGTCACCTCACTGCCCCCATACCTCTCCTTCCCATAGATCAGGATTAGCCATGGCTGTTGATCAAGTGTAGGGCTGAAGACAGAGCTTTAGAGGACCTGGCAGACGTAACTGGAGAAGCCATAATGGATGATCATGATGCACCTTGACAGTGCTGGGACTCAGAGCAGTGGGAAATACCCCTCCAGCCAGTGCTGAGGCAGCCAGTGCAGAAGATGGAGCTCTGGTAGGCAGAGGGGCTAGAGATGAGGGAGGTGTCCTCTTTACCTTGGTTGGAGATTCCCTATAGGTTGACATGGGCTCTCCAAAATTTAGTGGAGACAGCCTGGCAGCCCTGACTCTAGCTGTCCATGATTTCAAGTTGCTGACCAACCTGCCGAGTCTAATGTTTGGCCTTTGCTATGCGAATATGAATACAGCACCCTCTCCCTAGCCTCTCACAAGCCAGGCAACATGGGTTGGAGAGAAGCAGCAGGGACTGCTGGGAGATGATGGTTCCAAGCCTAGTCCCTCCATCAGTTGTGGTGACGGACCGCCATCATCCTAAGGCTGTGTGTGCTGGCAGAGGTGGTCTGGGGGGTGCTGCTGGGGCACTCGGGAGATAGAGCAAGGGCCCTGGCTTTGAGCCAGGAGCCAGGAGCTCAGTTCATCCCCCAAACAGAGACATGGTGTAATTCAGGCCACTGCTCTGCCACGTCCAGCCAGGCAGTATGAACAGACACAAGAGCCCAAATGTTCCAAACAGTTCTGGAGTGATTTTCAAAGAATAGCACAGCAACAGACTATGTTACTGGTCCGTGGTATCTCCCAAGGAGATAGGGCTGCCCATGGAGGCCTAGGTAGCCGCGGCCTCCTCTTCCCTGACCTTGGCCTTCACAGGGTCCCTTGGCATCATCAGTTCCTGAATCATGGTGTATGTTGGACACTGCGGGTCAAAGCAGTTTTTCTGAAAGGAAAAAAAGAACATTAGCAAGATTGAAGATTTGGCTTCGGGAGAGAACAATGCCCTGAACAGTGTTAGGGCTGGTGAGCAGAGGAAGGCAGTCATGCCATTGCTAACTACAGAAAACAAGGGTTGCTGCATTGAAAGAGAGGATCAGGACAAGGAGACCTTCTGGAGATGGGCTAGGCACTCACCGCCAGGGACAGCCACAGCAGCCCCAAGGGGCCCTTGGACGAAGAAGTCCTGGACTTGGAGACCTGGACCTGGTACTGCACAGCGGTGAGGAAGCCTTCCAGCCCCACCTCTGTGATTCGGTTCCCTGGGAGGAAGCATGGAAGTGGCATCTGGCGTCACATCTGGCAGCCTGGCCCCCCATCCCCAAGTTCTCCGGGCAGGACTGACTTTAAGTGGCCCTCTACCCCATTCTTCCTGCTTCCCGCCCAGCTGTCTTGATCCTGTCACTGCTGCCCTGGACCCCCTGAGCCCGCACTGCCTCTCAGCTCCAGCCCCGAGGGTCTGACAAAGCGAGGCTCGGCTATTGGAGGACCGAGCACACTCCATGCTGTGGCGGCGCTCCTTAGCAGGACGGGGCCTGGGGGGTCCCGCGGTAAGGGCGGGTAAGGCTCGAAAACATACGGAGGAGGTTGAGGTGCAAAAGGACCTTGTTCCCGGGCATGAAAACCTTCCCATCTCGGTGCTCCACGGGCTCCAGGAGAGGGTTAACCATCTCTGTAGCTTCAACCACCAGCTGCTAAAGCAGAAGACTAATTGCAGCAGAGGAGAAGGGAGCCGGTCAACGGGCCATTCATTCATTCATTCATTCATTCAACATACAGTTTTTGAGTGCTGTCATAATTCAGGCTGTGTCCTAGGTGCTGGAGAAACAGATAAATAAGCCCATACCCTCAAAGAGTTCCTTGATGTGGGGAGGCAGAGGGTTGAACAAGAGTGTGGTGTGCCAGGGCCCTTGAGAGCAGAGGACTGTGGGAGTGTAGGCCTTGAAAGAGGCAGCCTGAGAGAGAAAGCTGAAGTGTACAGACATTCAGATGCAGAGGGGAGGTTCCCCCAAGCAAGGAGCACAGCAGATACAAAGACCCTGGAGCCCTGAGTCCACATGGAACTGGGGTTTAAAATAGGATTTGTAACCCTTCCATTAAAGAGCAGTTGGGAAATGGATGGTCCTGTTGAGAAGGAACAGTTTGCCCAAGACAAAGGCAAAGACTATAATGTGGGGTGTAGAAAGCCATCCTCCTTCCATCTGACTTGTTCTTCTGCCAGAACTTGGCTTGGGTGCCAGGAAAGACTCAAAAGGACAGGGCTGTCCCTTTCAGAAGTATGTGACAAGGTTGTGGAGTCTCCTCGTGGAGAGAACAGAGATAACAGGATGACAGAGAACTGGGAATCAGGAAGGAGGTGGCCCAGGGAGGTTTCCTAAGGAAGGCAGAGTCACACAAAGCATGAAAGGGGATCCAGCAGCAAAAAAAAAAACAAAAAACGGGGGGAGGGGGGGGGAGTCTGAAGGAGAGTCCTGCATGGGGCAGTGTAGTGACAAGTGCCTTAGGGGGCACCTGAGGGGCAAAAGCATCCTTTGTCCCTTTGCAGTGTTGGAGGGGCTGGTGGTGAGCTGAGGCCCTCAGAGAACAGAGCCTCGGTTTTGCAGCAGACCCCAAGTGGGGCTTCTAGACGTGGAGGTAAAGGGGCCTGCCACCTGGGAAGGGGAACGGGGAGTTGTGAGCATCATCTAGAGACAGCCACCAAAGCAGTGAGATTGGGGTGACACGAACCTCTGACTCCAGGAGGATGCTGCGCTTCTCTTTGCTCCCTGTCTTCATCCCTTTCCCCTTGCTCATCTTCTGCTCGGGGATGGTTACCTCTGGGACCAGAAGGGGAGCCAGAATGCACAGTGCAGACCCCCCTGACACCACCCAAACTCCCCAGAGAAAGGAGCTTGGTAAGGCAGAGTCCCTGAACTTGGGGGGAACATGGGAACGTCAGCAGTGAGCTCCCGTCGAGCTGGATGGATTCCTTTTCTGAGGACAGCCATAGAGGCCTAGTCCTGAAAGATGGGGTAGTGGGTCACCCATCACTTCAAGGTGAGGAATAAACAAGGCCTGGGGAGAGATGTGAAAGAACAGCTGGCAGATACAGCCAGGCCAAAACCAGGCGCCTGCACGCTGCCCAAGGCTCTTCTGTGTGGGGAACATTCCCATAGAAGGGTGGGTGCTCAGACTTACTCCCCTTGCCTGCCTTTGTGGCATCTTCTTTCTTAGGGGTTCCTTGTGTAGGGGACTGCCCGGGGCCTGACTTCTCTTCCTTCTTTACAACTTCCTACGAAGGATGTGAGAAGACGTAATGGATATCCACCCTGCCTCCCACAGGGAGAGTATACGAAGGCTGAGCCTGAGAGACACCTTCAAAGGCCAAATCCACTTGCCCGTCTTTCTCCCACCCTGTGTACCATGGAAACTCCTCCCCTGCCCATTCAGGGCCAAGGTTCCCTTTCGCCCAGCACACCTACCCCTGACTTCTCCTTTTTCTTGCCCAGACCCTTGGGTGCTTTTAATGTCTGCATCTTTTCTGGCTTGTCCACCAAAGTAACATTGCTGATGCCCGCTGTCTGAGACTTCTCACGTTCCGTTTTGGAGTCTCCATGTCGGGAGGAGGAAGGCTGTACTCACAAATGGGGGTGGGGGGGTGCAGAGAAGTAACTACATCCTTTCCCTTCCCTACCTCCCTGCCTATCAGTTGGTCTGGGACAGAGTGGCTGTTGGCAAGAAGGAGCCCAGAAATGGGTGAGAATGAGCTGGAGGCTCAGGTTTTCATCAGAGGAGGGGAAATAGCTCACTTTGAATTTATTTATTTTTGTTGTTATCTGTTTCGGGACTGGGGATCAAACCCAGTGCCTGTGTGTGGTAGGCAAGCACTCTGTACTATACTCTACCTCCAGACCTTGGTTTTATTGAGCCAGGGTCTTACTCTGTGGCTCAGGCTGTCCTTGAACTCATCTTTCATCTCCTCCTTGCTGACAAGGTTTACATTACGCCCAGCAGCTTTTGTTGAGCCAAGTTCTAAGCAATATTCCAAATGCTTTATAGTAACTCATTTAAACATCTCACTTCTGTGAAGAAAGTAACAGTTACCCCGCCTAGTGGAGAAAAGTCAGGCTCAGGTTAAGCAGTGAATTCAAGATCAGAAACTGGTGACGTGGTAGGGAGGATTTCAAGCCCAAGTGGTCTGAATAGTCTCTTTTAACTGCACTCCTTAACTGCCAGAGTGGCTGTGTAGTTAGAGCGCCAAGTTGGGCTTGGTAGGCACGGGGGTCTCCAGAATCCAGAAGGGCAAGAAGATGGAGGGAATTTGAGTCATGGGCAGTGGGCAGAAAAGCACCCTTCCCGGGACCAGGCCGCTCCTCACCGATCGCGACGACCGCTCCTGCGTTCCTTTCTCCAAGAGCAGGCGCCGCCGCTCCACCACCTCCGTGTGGGTCAGCTCGAAGGGGCGCAGAACCTGAGGCAAGGCCAGCTCCCCACGTCAGACGCCTGCGTCAGAGCCCCTGCCCCTCCCAGCGTGCAAACCTACCTCAGCCAGCTTCAGTGCGCCCTTGTCTTGAATACGGTTGTGCGCCAGGGACAACCAGAGAAGAGAGCGATTCAGTCTCAGGCCCTGGAGAACGGAGGGCCCTGTAAGCCAAGGGCAAGCCAGCATCCCCAAGCCGTCCTGCCACACAGCACGCACATCTGCAATGTAGCCCGCTCCCTCGTCCCCGATGTGGTTGAATCCCAGGTTCAGCGAAACCAGGGTCCGGTTGCTGTTGTTCAGTGTGGACAGTGCCTGGCCCAGGAGCTGCGCCCCGTGGTCGTCGATGCTGTTGTTCCTCAGAGATAAGTGAGAGATCCTGGGGCGGGGAGAGAGGGCCCGCGGTACTGGGCTTGCTTCTATCTGATCTGTAGGTGGAGGGGCAGGGATGGGATCAAAGGTGCCTGGGGACCAGGAGAGGGAAGGACTAAAGATAACCTCACGTGGGGGTAAGCCAAGAAAGGAGAGTGAAGCCCAGGAGTCTCACGTGCTGTCCAGTCCCATGAGCTTGTAATAGGACTGCTCCGGTAGTGGGTTCCCCTCCAGAGACACCTTCCTGAGAGTGAGAGCGATCAGGGGCCTAGGGATCACCACTGAGGCCATGCAAGGCGGAGGGGAGCAGAGTGGAAGTGTGGACCTTTGGGGAGCATCTAGAAAACAGAGCCTAAGGATATCCCCCAAAATAGGAAGTATATCTATGACAACTCCCCAGACTCAAATTCCAGAGCATGACCATGTCAGGGGCCAGTTCCCCTGAGCTGACCTGTAGTACAAGTCTCTAAGATGGCCTTCACTGAGTCCTACTTCTGGGTGCTCAGGCCCTGTGCCATGGAATCCTGTCCTCTGCCGTGTAGCTAGAACTAGTGACAGTTCTTTGTGTGTGCAGGCAGGTGCGGGTCCCTCCCCCAACCCCCCAGAGATCCACCTGCCTCTGCCTCCCCAATGCTGGGACCAAAGGCGTGCGCCGCCACCTGTCTCTCCTGGTTGTTTTAAACCACTACATTTTGGAGTTACTTTGTTACATAGTAATAAATCACTACAGCGCCCTCTATGAGACGATAGCTTCTCTCACAGTCCTAAGAAAACAGAACCAATGGGTGGAAACTTCTCTACTATTTCACATTGTACACAATTCTTGCCCAGCCTTTTGGGCTGCCTTGTTTCATATGAACGATTCATTTCCCATCATCTTACGCTGACGTAGCTGGTTCTTACATTAATGAATTCACAGTTCTTTTTCTGTTAGCTCGTCTGTCTCTACTTTCCCAGCTAAAGATCCAGCCCCTACGCTCAGGGAGCATCCATCCCATACCCGGAAGGAAAGCCCACATGGGGAGCACTGAGGGCCACTAATCATGAAGCAAGAGTGTTGACTCTAGGGGCCGGGAGGAACCTGAAAAGGGGCAGACAGCTCGGGTGGCTTTGTCCTTTGTACAGCAAGCTGCAGTTGTAGCAGGCTATCTTAAACCTGGCTCTGCCTCCTACCCATCCACCCCACCATTCCTAGGAGGCTAGCTTAGCGCAGGTCTTCCTGCACGGACTCGTGTGCTGGGCCGCACGCCCAGCCAATCCCCCACACCCACACCCACACTGCTGCAAAGCCGTGTCCGCTCCTGGGCCCAGGCCCTTCGCTCCCTGCTCGCTGCCCTGGGTCACATTAAACAGGGCCAATGGGGCGGAAAGAGGGTTAGACCTCAGAGGGCTCTGTGGACGCCGCGTGGGCTAAAACCGTGGTCTCGGGTGTGAATCCCACCACCCAACAGACACGGGCTGAGCCCCATCTCCACACAGATGCCGGCCTAGGCCTACACATGGGACTTGCTAACTCTGCAGGCAACGGCTTCCCCCTCACACAGCCCAGCCAGGCCGCTTAGACACTGGGGCCTGACCACAACTGACCTGAGTGTGGAGGAACAGAGAGGCAGAAGGGCGATGAAGGTGGTCAGGGTCTTATCCGTCAGCCCCACCTTCCACAAGCTGGTTTTAGAAACAGAGGCAGCTGGGCACCACCTCGTTAGGAAGCCCCCTTCCCGCAGTCCCCCAGGCACACCCTCCACCACCACCACCCCCAGCTGAACTCTCTCTCTCTCCCTCCCTCCCTCCCTCCCTCTCTCTTTCTCTCTCTCCCCCCCTCCCCCAGAGGCTGACCTCCCACAGTGTCCCTCACTTGATAGCTTGCAGCTGGCTGAGGGAGGGCAGACATTTGGAGAAAATACCCAGAATCCGATCCTCAAGTTTCCAACCTAAGGAAAGGCCAAAGGCATCTCAGGCCTGGGAAGGGCCTGATGTGAACTGCTGTGAGCCAAGTAGTGGGAGGTGATTGATGCTCAAGGGGGATGGGTAGGGCTGAGGGAGGGTGGGGTGGGCGGGCGGGGGTGGGGTGGGGTGTGCAGCACTCGCCTCGGATGTAGATCTCTTTCACGGCCTTGCTGTCCTCCTGCTCTACCTCCACCTGAATGGTGGGCCGGAAGAACACGTATTTGCTCTCCAGGCTGTTCTGGCTGCAGGATGCTGAGAGCCGCTGGTCGTCTAGAAGACAGGGTAGAGTGTGAAGGCGTCCACAGCCGTGGCTGGCCCCGCCCAGTGAGCGAGTTGGGCGGGCTATGGCTCACCTTGGGTGGGTTTTTCTGACATGGAGGCGGAAAGGACAAAGTTCTGGTTGGGCCGAGGCCGGGTGACAACTTTGGGAAAGTCGGTGTAGCCTGACCGTATGCAGAGCTCGGCGAAGTCTGTCTCCAGGACCCCAGAGCACTGGTACTCCTCTGCGGGGGGTGGCAGCAGAGTGAGCCCGCGCCCAGCGCACCAGGAACCTCCATGCTCAGGGCAGCCCCCAGTGGGAGCTACTTGGCTAAGACCCATGCTGAGAACCCTGGAGGAAGGCAAGAGCTCACGGCAGAGGGCGCCCGCCGCCCAGCCAGCAGGGCTGCTGACCTGTCAACACTTTCTTTCACATCGTATTTGCTAGACAGTGTCCCAGGGTTTGTAAAGGCTCCGGAAATACTCATTGCCTTGATAAGTTGTGAATTCAGTCTTGCCCACCGCCTACTATCCTGAGGCTCTGCAAAGCTGGTGTCTGACACCCCCAAGAGACCCCCTGCTCTTCTCAGTTCTCTCCGAGGTAGCCCAGGGAGGGTTCCTGGAAATGGGAAAATCCTGCCAACCACCACCAACCCTACAGCAGCACCAGGGCCACCAGCAGGGGGCACTGTCAGCTGCGCCTGGCCTTCTGTGTCTGCACAGTGGGGAGCCTGGTCCCAGGTCCCCCGGAGAGTCCATGACACAGAACGCCCTTTGAGGAACAGGGTGAGAGGAGCTTTGCTCCTATACCCAACTGCCCTTGGGAACTCGGGCACACGGGAAATGTTCAACCAGTTAGCCCAGTTTCCCGAGTTAACGGTAGGAGACCCCGGGAAGTTGGGTGGCCTCTGCACAGCCCTGTGCATGCTCAGGCTGGCTCTCCTCTGTTGGGTGTGCCCCTCACCCTTCTTGGCATCACTCACCTCTCAAGAGCAAAGCCCCTCAAACTTTAACATCCCTAGACATCTCCTGAAGTCTTAAAGCACCCTCCCGGGCCCATGCCCAGGCTCTCCCAGTTCTCTTCCCTGTGGGGAGTATCTAAAGGAACGTACTCCATCCTCCACTTCCACACCAATGCTAAATGGCCCCACTCACACTTTGAGAAATGGGCCACCAGATGGAGTTTCCTCTAAATCTACACACCTATCAGGCATCTCTGCCCTATGTGAGACCCACGTCCGCCCCTGCCAAGCCATACACTGGCAACCATAAAAGCCTCTGTGCCCTCCACATTGCCCACATTGTCTAGGGTCCCTTGAGTTCTCCCCTGCAGCTGCCAAGGCTGCCTAGGCCGTCCTTGCCAGAGCCGTCTTTACATCTCTTCAGGCAGACTTCTGACCCATCTCGGGGAGTCTCGGGTTTGCACATCCCAACGCCCTCGCAGTCCCCGACGCCATTTCGCCCTGCCCTTCCTCGTTACTGCTGAGTCTCACTCCTCCAGGCCCACCCTTGCAGAGTCCTCCTTCCAGCTTTCTTCCTGTCCGTCTCCACCCAGCTAGCATCCCAGGCTAGAAACCTGGGACTCGGTCAATGCTGCGCACCTCACCGCTCTCTCTCTCCAGTCCTTCACCAACTCACTGTCCGGTGCCAACTACCCCCGTCCCTGGACTAGGCTACTCAGTCACAGCTCCGCTCCCTGCTCCCTGTCTCTCCTCTTCCTCAATTCTCCGTGCACTGCCAGTGTTCTTCTTCCCCGTCACCCCCTGGAGATGCAGTCTTACTTTGTATACAGCCCAAGTTTTCCGAGGAATCCTGCCTCAGCATCCCAAGTGCTGGGGTTACAAGTGTGCACCCTTTATGTGCCCAGGGAACTCAACCCTATCTTCTCTTCCCTGGGAAAGATGCTTTTTGTCCAGGTCTTCTTAATCCACCTGTCCCTGGCCACTAGTAGGGACAGGGGAATGGCACCTGGCAAAGGGTGGACCATCAGAGTCTTCCCTCAGGTGGTTTTATCTCCATTCCAGGGACAGCAGGGTCCTGACCCTCTTTGGTAACAAAAGCATCAAGTTAGTATCAAGACACCCTCTGACAAATTCCCTTTTGTGCTTCATTGGTGAAAATTGGGTTCTGGCACTTGCAACAAGAAAAGCCATGGCCCTATTCATCTAACTTTAAAGGTTTTCTTTAAATATGCCAAAGCAGAACTGTGTCCATGGCCACAGGGCAGATACTCAAAAAGTAACTGTCGTCTAAATGAGTATCTAGAGAGCTCTGTTCAAGACCCCTCTCACAGCACCATGGGATCTTCCCACCCCTACCCCGGTCTTCTTTGACATCAATTTTTTTAAACTTTTTTTTTATTTTATAATTTAATTTAATTTTACATATCAGCCACGGATTCCCTTGTTCTCCCCCCTCCCACCCACCTCCCTTCTTTGGCATATCTTATCCCATCTTACTGTGTATGTCAGCATCCCCAGGGAAATGTGTATTCTTTAAAGCCAAGCCCTGAGGAGATCCACCTTTGATCTCAGCGGAGATGGAATTCTGAGTTCTGGACCAACCTAATCTATATAGCAAGTTCCAGACCAGATTTGATTTAATAATAATAATAATAATAATAATAATAATAATAATAATGCCAAGCTCTGGGGCTCTGATTAACCCGACCCTAGCCCTGCCAGCAAGCATACCGGGATTTTTCGGCTCCTCCTCGCCCAACGGAGGCAGGGCAGTTGCTGGCTTCTCCTTAGCGGCCCGGTCCCCCTTCTTGGTTATCGCACCGGATGACTTCTGGGCCCCAGGACGCGGTGTCCTAGGTGAGGTCCCGGGAGCGCTCGGCTCAGTTGACATACTGGTGGTTCTGGACCCCTCAAGTGAGCGGGAAGGTGAGACAGGGCTCGGCGGGCCTCACACCACAGATCCAACTGGCCGGAAACCGCGGGATCTGCGAGTCCCTCTCCAGGACAACCGAGCTCGGTTGGGTGGCGCTGCTGCGGCCCCAGCAACGGCAAAGAGTGCACGTGATGGGCGCCTGATGGCCCCGGCCCGGAGCGAGTGGGCGTGGTTTGGTACTGCTGGGGTCCGTGTGAACAGAAGGGCTCAGGCAGCCTAGGATCGTGTGGAGCCCTGACAAGGTGGGCAGGCACCCAACAGTCCCTACTCACGGAGCTGTGGGCAGTGGGGATGACCCTGAGCAGGGAGGTGGTAATGGTTGGAGAACGTTCAGAAGGGGAGCTCAGGTTCATTCTCTAGAGAGCGTCCCTAGTGGTAAGGGCCCAAGCAAGCTGTTCAGGCTGACACTGAGCCTACTGGAGGACTGGGGGCCCAGTCTGATGCTGATTTGATCCAGGAGGTCCCCCTCCTTACCATTTTGCTATCCCGAGCCCCTTTGAGTTGCTTTGCTTCCTCTAGCCTGGCACCCCATTCAGTGCCGGCCGCTTCATGGCCCCCAGCACTGAATTCAAGCACTGATGGGCTGCTCCCTGCAGAGAAGCTACTTCTGAGATCTCCAAACGAGGCTCCGAGGGGCACTGCGAACGCAGGAACTGGTATTTACCGCAGTTATCATTGGTACTATATCACTCAGCCACTCAGCTTTGAAAGGAACATTTATTGACTGCCATGTGCCAAGGGAAACCAACAGTGAGCATAAACACAGAGTCCTGCATCCAAGGAGCTTGCAGTCCACCTCCCTGCTAGGGGGAGGCGGAGGGGCTGATCTAGGACCGTGGAGATCACGTCAGGGTGCAGCCTGAGCTAGCACACCTTTCAACCCAGCACTCCGGAGGCTGAGGCAGGCAGACCTCTGAGTTCAAGACCCGCCTGATCTACAAAGTGAGCTCCAGGAGAGCCCGGGCTGCATAGTGAGACAATGTTTCAAAAACAAACTGAAAAAAAAAAAAAAAAAAACAAATCCAAGTCCTGCCTGGTACCACCCCTGCCTGGCACCACCCCCTGCAGGTGCACGGGGAAGAAACAGTAGCTACAGAGGAAGAGATGTGGGGTGGGGTGGGGTGGGGATTCTGTGGGGTGCGTGAAGGACAAGCGGGAGTCAGCAGGTAACCCAGGAAGGCTGAACTCAGATGTGGCCGTCCCTGGGGGAGGAAGAAGGATGGCAGATAGCCTTCTCTCCAGAAAAAGAGTAGAACGGGACAGAAGAGGTAGACTGCAGGGCCACTGAGGCCTGGGAAATTTGACTGTGTGTGGCCCAAGGAGTACCAGGAGGATGGACCACACAGGCAGGGAGCAACCCTCTGAGCAAAAACATGGAGGATTACCACGGGAAGGGTGGCAGGTAGTAAGGGCCTGCTGTTGGAGCTAAGTTAAGCTTGGAGGCTGGCCGCCTGGGAAGTGCGCAAGGCAGAACCTGTGCCTGGCACCTTCTGAAGTCCACTAGACACACACACACACACACACACACACACACACACACACACACACACACAGCCCCGCCTAGGTATATACACAGGAAAGGTACCCAACACATACTTTTAAAATCCATCTAAAATCAGACTTATATACATCAACACTCAGCCCAGCAAACTATGTCCACAGAGCCTCAGGGCCTCGAATGGTGGGTTGGAGAAAGGGAGTTGGACATTTGGCCAACTAGTGTCTCCCTTGGTGGAAGCGTCTCTCTCTCCGTTCACTCCGTCAAACGTGCTTCCTCACGGCCTGCTGGTCCAGTCCCTGCTCCCGGCAGGGTCCACGGGCACTATCCCATCCCCTGCTGGCTCCTCAGCGGTCCTGGCGCCGAGGTGGAGGTGATGGAGGATGCCGTACCGGAGGCAAGTCATAGTGTGCAGGGATGTGGCTGTTCTTGGGCGAGTCATAGTGGCCAGGAGGCAGGCCTGGAGGAAGAGGGGGCGTAGAGCCCACAGACTCTTGATCTGAAGACAGAGAGGACAGGATGAGGTGACTCCTCCCCCCCCCCCCCCCCCCCCCCCCCCCGGCTTCCCCTCCTACTCCGGGCTCTTTCTACCCACAGAGAAGTCAATGGCAATGCACATACGTGGGCTGGCTGGACCAAGCGCCTGCATGGACGGCTCTGAGCAAAGCCCTCTGCCTCCCAGCCACCCCCGCCTGTCCACCTCAAAGGATGTGAGGATGCTGTCCCACAACTTGGTCTCCACTTCTCTGGATGCTAATTCTACCCCTCTGGTGCTATACAAGCACCATCTCAAATGCCCAACCTTCGGGTGAGGAACAGACCCGAAGAAGCAGGGCAACGCCCCCAGTGTCCTGCCTGGTTTGAGACCAAACCGCCCAAAGGCCTTGCCCTTGCCATATCATGCCACTGTTTCCGTCTCTTCCCCTGCCCTTCTCCTTCCCATATGCCAGGGCCCTGCAGCCCCTGCTGGGGGCAGGGGGGGCTCACTATGGCTCAAGGGGGTGGGCTGCTCATAGGTGCCACTGTCCCTCTGTGGCTGCCGTTGGCGCCGCTGGCTGTCCCGGAGATGAAGAGGCTGCCTGGGAGGAGACACTGATGGAGGGCCCTTCATCTCCACATAGCTGCTCTCCCGAGGTTCCCCAGGCAGGCCCGGCAGATCTCTGATGGTAGCATAGGGGTTCTCGGTGCTCAGGGACAGAACGCTTGCCCCCAGCCCCTCTCCAGAGGTGGGACCTGCGGGTCAAGGAAGGAAATCAGGCTCCTTGGAGGCACTGGCTCCCTGACCCAGCTTCCCTACCCATCCCTGGCTCTCTGCTCATACCTTTATGACAGAATGGTCCCGGGCCATTCCTGTGGCCATAGCTGCAGCTGTAACTTCGGTCCAGGTGGCCGGAGCCTGAGGGAAGGCAGAGAGGACAGACCTCAGGTCCCTTCTCAGGCCTCTTCTGGAACTAGGCTCTTCCCCCCATCCCAACCCCATCAAGACGACCCAGCAGGGGAAGCTGCACCCGTTCACGCCCTCAGCCTCTGCCTCCAAGCGCCTACCTCTGTCATGGGGTTCTCGTCTGTGCTTCCAGTCAGCGGGCAGAGTAGCATGGTTATCACGCCCATGGGCTCTGCCTGGCCGCTCGGGTGCCTGGGAGCCGACAAAGAGCTGACCGCCTGGAACCTGACGGGGGACGATGGGGGCCCAGGCGCAGGGTCGAGGCTTTCCTGAGCAATGAGTCGCCCCCACCCACATGCAGAGCACACCCCCCTCGATGCACTGACCTTGTTAGGGGGTGGGGGATTGGGGGAGCACTGAGACAGAGTGTGGTAGCTAGGGTTGGAGTAGTAGTGGCTGTAGCTCGGAGAGACATCTGCAGGACAAACACGGGTACCAAGTAGCTCAGAGACAGGCGGAAGCCAGGACCATAGCCGCCTGGCCTCCCTGACTCCTCCCATTTCCACCCCACATTCCGGGGGGGGGGGGAGCGTCGGCCACACCCCACTGCCCATCACTCACCTCAGCCCCGCCCCCGCTCACCTGGCATGACGTAATCCGAGCCATCCAGCCGCCCAGAGCTGTAAGCCACTGCCAAGTGCTCGTGCTCTTTGCCCTTTTGCCAATGGCGGTAGCCAATGAACAGCGCCACCAGGGCCACCACAAGGGCGCCCAGTACTGCAATGCCAATCACGGCACCCAGTGAGTTATGGGCCACAGGAGAGGTGGGCATTATGGTGGAGGACTCCTGGCTTCCTGTGAGATGAAAGTGGGCACTGAGATTGGCAATTTAGTTCTGCTAGTAGACGTGGGTGCACTTCAAGGAAGACAGAGGTGGTGTGGGGGCCCCTGGGTCACAGAACCTTGGAGGGTCAAAGCATCCAAGAACTCACCTATCTTGCAGGGTGCACCACTGTGTCCTGGGGGACAGACACAGGCCCCAGTCTCTGGGTGGCACCTCTCTCCAGGACCACACTGGCATACCTGGGAGCAGTTGACACCAAACACTCCTGGTGGGCAGCCTGGATAGAGCCAAGGAGGCAAGTAGGGGTCACAGAGCCTGCAAACTGCAGCCCCCTCCTGGATAAGGGCTGTGGTGTACTCAGGGACTTAGCTCTCCATCCGTACCTTCCAAGCAGTAAGGTCCAGTCCAGCCTGGGGTGCAGGCACAGCTCCCGTCCTGGGGGTGGCAGGTCCCTCCATGATGACACTGGCAGGCTTGGGAGCATTTGAGTCCCCAGTGGCCTGGGGGACACGCTACAGGAGACAAGGGGCTGTCACCCCCTCTGCATGAACTCTCAGCCCTCAGTACCTCTGAAGTCTTCAGCTTAGCCTTTTCTTGGGGACACCCAGGCTCTGAGGGGCATCTACACTCTGATGACTCAGATGTTCATTTCCAGCCATCTTGACCCACCCTGACCCACCCACTTGACATCTGCTCTCGACTCCCAACAGCCATTTCAAAATAATGTACCCAGTGCTGGGGAGCCAGAAACTTCCCAACAGTCCCTGGGGGGGGGGGGCGCTCAGCACGGGGCTTGTTTTTTTCTTTTTTCAAATATCTGTCTCCTACCTGGGTACTGGGATTACAGCCTAATACGTTATCTCTGTGTGTGATCCTAGCAAATAATCTAATAGTAGACACTACCGAATTCTATGCAGAAAACAAACAAACAAACAAACAAAAACAAACAAAAACAAAACAAAACAAAAAAACCCACTGCCCCAGAGCTCCTTTACGCCCTGACTGCAGAAGTGCAGTCTCTGGGCAGCCACTTCTCCCTTCAAAACATGCTTCTGCTGCCTGGACGAGTCGCTCCTTTATCATCGTATAGTTATGTGGGAGATGACACACAATCTAAATAATGTGAGACAGATAGAAAGCAGCCATGGCTGCTGGGGGAGGGAGACCCACGTTCCCGTCAATGGCCCCACACCCGCACAGGCCAACAAACTGGACTCGGTGAGTTACAGAAAAGGAATGGGCATTGGGTAGGAGAAAGACATATTAGGAGTTATGAGGGGGAGTGGGATTTGGTCAAGACACACAGTATATGTGTATGAACTCTCCAAAGAATAAAAGTAATAGGTTTTTGTTGTTGTTGTTGTTGTTCTTGTTTTTGGGTTTTGGTTTCTCAAGACAGGGTTTCTCTGTGTAGCTTTGGAGCCTGTCCTGGAACTCGCTCTGTAGATCAGGCTGGCCTCAAACTCACAGAGATCCGCCTGCCTCTGCCTCTCAAGTGCTGGGATTAAAGGTGTGTGCTACCACCGCCTGGCTACATAGTTTAAAATATATATGTATATATATTTTATATTTAAATATATATATATATATATTTAAAGGAAGAGAAAATAATATGTTCAAGAGGTAAGTTTTGGGGATTTGCTGTTCCATAAACACCCTGCTCTTCCCAGGTTCTAGAAAGGCAGAAAATTTCTCCCTCTGACATGTTCGCTGCTGCATCCTCCACTAAAACCAGTTCCCAGCACGAAGGCGATGGCAGGATTTTTCCTATTGTACAGATAACCAACTAAGGTGGGGGCGGGGGGCGTCTGCCCAGAGCCCGGACCGGGCAGGCAGCAGGCACACCTGCTCCCGCACAAGCTGCTACGCACGTTCAGAGCAGTCCGGGCCTGTCCATCCTGCCAGACAGTAGCAGGTCCCGTCCGAAGGATGGCAGGAAGAGTGGTTGTTGCACTTGCAGGGCACGCAGCGTTTGCCGTAGCGACCAGGCTGGCAGGCTGGGGAAGGGGAGGCATGGTGACTAGGGGGGGGGGGCGCGTGACCGGGGTCTCCCTTCCCACCTCCCCCTGGATTAACTCTCCCGGAGATGGGAGGCAGAGGCAGAACCCAAGCGGGGCTCCTGCATCTGAACTGCTAACAGAAGGGAGTGGAGCGTGCTCACGCCTCTGGCAGGACGGGCCTCGGAACCCCGGCGTGCACACACAGTTGCCGTTCTCGGGTACACAGGTACCCCCATTTCTGCAGGCGCAAGTGTTGCTGCAGTTGGCCCCCCAAAAGCCCTCGGGACAAGGCAGGTGGCAGCGTGAGCCTGTGGGAGACAGCTAAGGGTCATCTCCTGTGGCGTACGCTCCCGACTCCACCGCAGACCGGAGACCTAGACACCCGGAACGCTCACCCATCCAGCCAGCCTGGCATCGGCAGCGTCCATGAACAGGGTCACAGCCATCAGAGTGGTCACAGTCACAGACACTGGCGCAACCTTCACCGAACTGCCCCTCCTTGGAGAGGGCGAGGAGGGGAGAGCAGGCTAGTCAGCCCGAGGGGTGCTACGCCCTCCCCTCCCCCAGGCAGGCGGGCTGTGGTCACTCACCGGGCAGGGAAGCTGGCAGTGAGCTCCGTGCCACCCAGGGGTACAAGTGCAGGCTCCAGTTTGGGGGCTGCAGGCTCCCTCGTGGGCACACTGGCAACTGGCATTGCAGCTGAAGCCCCAGGTGCCAGGGGGACAGGGCACGGAGCAGTTACCACGCTGCCAACCTAGAGAAGGCAAGCAGGTAAGGGCTGTGCCAGCTTTATGCTGTGAGCTGGGCATGAGTGGAAAAGCACATGAGCAAGCCATTGTCTGGGCCTCCTATGGCTGCCACCCGGCCTGGGCCCCCTCTTTTCCACCCCACCCAGGGCCTCCTCTGTCTCTCCTACAGAACACAGGAGGCTGACAACAAACCCAAGCTCAGAGTGGAGCTCCACGGGCCCTCTGTGGGATGACAGGGAAAAATGGGGGCTGAAGACCCCATGCTTGGTTGAGTCTATACCACAGGATCTGAGCAGGCGGAGGAGGGGTCCACTTGCTTTCCCCACCTGCTGATGTCGGGGTGTCCTTGCCATTTACCTGCCCCAGAGGACAGCCCCTGGGAGAGCTCCCCGGTACAGTCCTGGGACATTTCTATGGACCTGAGGGTGGGAATGTCCATTATAGAGGTATCTTTTGGTCTACACCTTGTAAGGACAAGTATGGCGTTTGTAGCCTAGAGAAAAGCAAAATGACTAGGGCGTTTGGGCTCCGCCTGTGATCCCAGCACTCGAGGCTGAGCCAGGATGGGTGCTTGGACTCTGAGTCTATCCTGGGCTATATAGTGGGACCTCGTCTGAAAATAAATAAATAAATAAATAAATAAATAAATAAATAAATAAATAAATAAATAAATAAAAGCAGGACGGGAAAGAGAGGATGAGAGAGGACAAAGAAATAAAGTGTTCTAGCAGGAACCAGCCCGGATCCGTTCCCACAGGCCCACTTCCAGTAGGTTTTGCCCTGGTGCCCTCCTCACCCCCATCCCGCCCCCTCCCAAAGACCCTGGTCCATTACCTTCCTTGCAAACGCACGTGCCGTCGATGGGGGAGCAGGCGATGGCATTTTCGCAGGAGCAGCGGGAGGAGCAGTTGATCCCGTACGTGTCGGGTGGGCAGAGGTTAGCGCAGTGAGGTCCCTGGAAGCAGAGGGCGCACGAGTGAGGGGCCGTCCAGGCTCCACCCCGCTCCTCCTATCCCTAGGGCGGGACGCAGCCTCACCGTGTAGCCGGGTGCGCACCGGCAGAGGCCGCTGTCGGCAAGGCAGACGCCACCGTGCAGACACAGGCAGTGCTCCTGGCAGCCGGGCCCGTGCGTGTCCTGTGGGCAGCTCTCGTTGCAGTGCAGGCCGGCCCAGCCCGGCTGGCAGGCGCACTCGCCGTGCATAGGGTGGCAGCTGTGGGCACAGGAGGGGAGCCGTATGACAGGAGTCCCTTCCTCTACAGAGCCCGAGTAGGGAGCCAAGGGGCTCCGTGAGAGCCTCCGGAGAGCCGGGCTGGGCCAGGAGCAACGCCCAAACCGCTCCCACCCCGCCCCGTCCCTAGACCCCTCCTCGATCCTTCTGTGCCACTGATACCACCCTTAGCTATCCCCTGGTGCTTTCTGTTCCTCTGTCTCCCTTGACCGTGTTTCCCGCAGCCCACCTGAGACTATGTTCTAGATCGCAGGTGCAGGGCTCCTGGCAGCTGAGACCGTAGAGGCCGTCTGGACAGAGGCGGTCCGTGCAGCGGTCGCCTGTGAAGCCGTGTTCACACAGACACGCGCCATTGGCAGGAAAACAACGGGCACCAGGGGCGCAGTCGCAGGTCTCAGCACAGTCTTGCCCGAAGCGGCCCACGGGGCACTCTTCATGGCACCTGGGTACCGGGTTAAGCACTTCTGTATAAACTGGGCTCCACCTCCTCCTGGTCCACCCCAGCTCCCTAGAGCCACAAGCTCACCGGTCCCCGATATAGCCAGGAGCGCAGTGGCACTGCCCAGTAAACCGGTCACAGAGGCCACGGTTGTGGCAGCGACATTCCTGGGTACAGTTGGGTCCATAGAAACCCTCTGGGCAGGGCAGGGAACAGATGACACCCTGTGGGTGGGTGAAAAGTCACTTAATCCCCTTCTCATGGCCACAGGCTGTTGGACACCCCCATATACTCAAAGCCCTCCAACCTCGCTGGGGTGCTGAGGGCCCATCTCATGAAACCACTGGCCCCTAGCCCTGTCCAGAGCCACCCTCAGAGTTCTCCTGGGAATCCCAACCCCATGCACACAGCCCCCCCCCTTCATACCATCCAGCCCGGTGGGCAGCTGCAGGAGCCTTGGGGGACCTGGAAGACACCTCCATTTTGGCAAGGATAGGTTCTGGGGCAGAAGAAGCTAGCAGTGCCCTGTGAACAGGGCACATTACAGCTGTGGAACAGGGGTGAGGTCAGAGTGTCATCAGGAAGAACCTTCAGCTGGCCCTCTGTTCTCCCCAAGGCTGGCTACCCGCACAGCAGGAGCCTCTGGGGCAGGTAAATGGCAAGGACACCCCGACATCAGCAGGTGGGGAGAGCAAGTGGGCCCCTCCTCCGCCTGCTCAGAGGGTCCCCTCTTCGCATCTGCTCCTGCTACAGTCTTTCTACCCTGGAGAGGTCAGCACCCCAACTCTCTCCTTGCAACCAGTTCTGCCTAAGTCCTCAAGTCAGCCTCGCTTGACGACAGGCACTCTCTCCATCTCTCTCTCTCTCTCTCTCTCTCTCTCTCTCTCTCTCTCTCTCACACACACACACACACACACACACACACACACACACCACTCACACACTCCCTCACGCTGTGATTGTGGCAATTGTTCTAGGGAACAGCTCACAAGGAGTTGATGGCTGCTTGAGGCGGCTTGGCTGGGACCCAGCAGAGCCGGACTAAGATCCTGGCCTCTCAACTCCATCATTTCCCCATGCACGGTCCCGTGTCTATGGCCCCGTCACACACCTGGGTCCTGTTCTCCCGGGGGGACAGAAGCAGGCTCCGTTCTGGGGGTCACAGGATGCCCCGTGGCAATGACAACCAAGCCGGCAGGCCGGACCATAGTGGCCAGGAGGGCAAGGCTGGAGGCAGCTGGGAGGCTGCAGGCCAGAGGGGCAAAAGCACTCCCCACTCTTGGGATCACAGGAACTGCTGTTGCCACAGGGGCAGAACCTGTCACACCTGGGCCCCCACTGTCCTGGGGCACACTCTGTGGAACAGAATGAAAGGGAGTCACCGGGCACTTAGCCTCCAGCTGGACCCAGTCTTACCGCCCCCACACCCATACCCTCTACCCCATCTCCAGAAAGGGCAGCTAACAGCAGCGGACGCCAATAAAAAGCTGTCCGAGTCACTAACAACTCACCGCTGGAACAGTCGTCACCCCGCCAGCCCGGTGCACACTGGCACCGATTAGGCGCCACACAGCGACCGTGGACACACTCCTGGGCACAGAGTGCTGGCCAGAGATGGGATGAATGAGAAGAAGCCTCCATCCCGCCCAGAGCCATCCCTCCCATGCCAGGGACCTGCAGGTCCCCAGTCCCCAGCTCCATCTCAGATGAAGACGTGGGGAGCGACCCCCAGGGGTCCAGGCTCCCTGGCCCCTCTCTGTGAACATGTCTAAACATCTTGTTAGGAAATGGGGGGATCCTCAAGTGGGTAGTTGGATAGAGGTATGGTCAGAATGGGTAGGGCTGAGGTGAGGGCTAAGTCGGGCTAGGAAGCCGGCCTGCAGAGCCTGGTGACAGAGCCGAATAAAGGGTCAGGGGACGGCAGGGGCCCGTCCTGAGACAGGCTCACAGGAGGCTAGGGGACAAGAGACTGGACAATAGGGAAGTAGGTCCGGCCTCCACTCCCAGCCCTGTGACCCCAACCCCAGCTACTGCCGAAGGGGGGGATCTAAAGGAGCAGACAGCAGCACCCCACCCACCATACCCCTTACTAGGGCAGGGAAAAGTTCCGACGGATGGGTCCCTCCCATCCCATTCCCACCCTGGCCCAACTCAAGACTTACGGACGCAGGCCCCGCCGCTCTCATAGTAACCCCCACAGCACTGCAGACGTGGGCGGGATTCAGTCTTCACCACCTGACGGTACACGGTCCGGTAGACGACCCTGCAGTGGCCCAGGAGGTGGCCATCAGTGCTCTTCGCGGAGGCCCTGGCCACCCCACCTCTCCCCCTCCCACACCCATCACACCTCAGTGAGGCACTGGAGGGCTCGGAGGCAGGCGTCCCTTCTCTGCCCCACGTCAGCTACACACACACACACACACACACACACACACACACACACACACACGGAACCAGACACACCTTCACAGGCCGCCTGGGTGCCCACACTGGACAGCCGAATGCCTTGAGGTCAGAGTGTCCTCTGAGCAGCACAGGCCGCCTGGGTGCCCACTACGGACAGGTCAGAGTGTCCTCTGAGGTCAGAGTGTCCTCTGAGGTCAGAGTGTCCTCTGAGCACCAAAGGTTCCGAGCGGGGTCAGGGCCCGGCCAGCCCCGGGTTCATAGAAGGATAAAGCACTCACGTGGGCCGCGGACAGCTGTGGGGGTCCTCCCAGGGCCTGTCACAGGACTCGGCTGGCAGCAGGCTGAAGGGACGTAAGTGGGACTCCTTCGTGGTGGTGGTGAAGCTGTGGGATGAGAACAGTCAGGCCCGAGGAGAGCCCTGGCCTGCGTGGGCAGGGTGCCGCAGAGAGCCAAGGCCAGGCTTCATCATGCACAAAACCAGGACCCCAGTCTCTGGGCTTCCCCATCCAACTCCCCACCCGTCTTGTCTAGGGGCTCCTTCTAGAACTGGAATGTTCTAGGACTCCTCCCACCATAGCTGTTTCTCATCCTAAGGGCCGAAGCCACACACGCACGCACATTTGCACACCTCCCGATATGGGAAGCTTGAACCTGACTGCTCAATCTTGACCCAGCCATGGACTAAAGCACTTTTGGCTAACCCTGGGCCCTGTTTTCCAGTCCCGTCCCTACCTTCTCCCCATCCCCACCCCCACCCCAGCCAGCCCCTCTGCTTGGGCTACACTACATGGCTCCCTCCCACAGGGATCCAGGGACAAGGACAGGTAAAAATCAGGGTCAGAGATAGGACAGAGGCGGGAAAGGTCAAAGGCCATGGAGGGGCACGAAGAGACCAGAAACAGATTCCTAGGAGGAGCCGCTCGTCCGGGACAAGCATCCAGCTCGGGGCCCTTCTCACCTTTCCCAAAAGGTACAGACATTGGGATCGTTGGAGTTGAGCGTTCTGGCCAGACCCAGGCCGAGGGCCAGGAGAAGCAGGGGCCGCAGAAGAGGCCGCATCGCAGAGGCCCGCAGCAGGGCACACAGCCACTGAACAGCGCAGCCAGCAGCCGGAAGGACGCATCTGCAGAGAGGCAAGCAGCAGGCATGCTGAAGAGACCAGCCCACGGCCTCCGTGGTCCTCTGGTCCACGGGGCGGGACTCCAGCTCCCCCAGGACCCCAGGACAGTGACCCTAGCACACTTCCGTGGCTCCGGATCTCGGCTCAGTTTGAACATTCTGACTCCAGCCCTCATTATTCCTGGAACTCTGCGCCACCTTGCTTTTCTGTCTGTTCCCTGACAGCTCCCCCCACCACCACCCCACCACCTCCACACACACACACACACACACACACACACACACACACACACACACACAGGCTGGCGGCATGCTCATCTCTTTTAGAGCCTCCTGGTACCGTTCACTACATCACTTGACCACCCCCTGGCCTAGCAAATAAATACTAAGGACACTGAAAGGTGTGCCACGGTGTGAACTGCCACGGTGTGAACCTGGGACCGATGAAGGAGGTTCTAAGGGAAGCCAACTTGGGCTCAGTCCGAGAGAACTTTCGAATGGCCAGGACAGTTCACTACCGGATGCCACAGACAGCAAGTTTCCATCACTGTATGTGGGCAGCCGGGAGCCAACGCCACGCTAATGAAGTATTGTCAGGAGGCTCTTGCCACGGGATGGCAGTGTGGCTGTGGCTGGACGACCACACAGCCACTGGTGTACTCCAAGGGGCAATTTCCATCTTTCTCTGATAGCTCAAGGAACCTGGCTCCTCCTCATCTCCACACCGAGGCCTCACCCCCGAGGGTGGGAAGAGTCAGGACCCCGGATGGGATGGGTTTTTCTCTGACCTCCCAGGCTGAGGAAAAGCTGACAGCTATTGCCCGCCTCCCTGCTCTACTCTCCAGAGATACCCACATCTGCTTGTAATTTTTTTCTTCCGGAGGAGAGAGGTCGCAGTTACTGGCCCCTTACACCCCTGAGTATCTCTGGAATGTTGTTGCAGCCCCATCCCTGGCCCCCCACCCCCACCCACATATTCTCCAGGTCATGATTCTCTCAGCTCAGCCAGGGCACCTTCTTCTCAGATTAACATAGGCTCCCTGACTAAGCCCAATTCCCTACTGTGGCCCACCCCCAACTTTAACCCCCTAATAGCTGAATTCCCCCACACACACCCGTCATCCCCTTTGCTCCATGCTACTGCTGCCCAGAGCAAACTCCCAGCTCCATCAATGGGCCAGAGACACTACACCCCACACATCCCCTGGGGCCCAGCTGCACCTCTAGCCAAGTCTCAGTTGACCAAATATCTCACCAGTGATGCCAGCACGGGCCTGGGAAAGCCAGATGATGTCCTGGGGACCCCAGTGCTCAGGGTCTAAATCCTTAAAAGAGGAAACCCAGCTGGCTCCCCACTCCCATACCACCCTGTCAGGTGTGAAGGGCTCCCATTTGGCTGGCTTGGCTACTGGGCTGGCATCGTGGCCTCGGGAGACGGGGACGTGCCCAGGGAGCCACACCATGGTCAGAGGTACCCACTGCTACTCACAACCTGATCCAGCAAAAAAGTCCCCAGCCTACAAAGCCAGTTCCTTCTCTCAAGGGTCCCAGACTGTCTCCTCCAACCTTGCCCTACACACTGCCCACCACAGGGTTGGCTCGAACTGGTCCAAGCTACTCTTCCCCACCTCCCCGAGGGTGTTCCACAGCCAGGGCCATGGGCAGAACCCAGAGCTCTCCACATCTCTGCCCCTGCTCTGAGTCTGTTCCACATGCCGTTCTTCCAGAATCTTGGGCTCTAGTCAGGATGCAGTCTCACCTACGAAGTCACCCATGGGTCTCAGGGCGCTGCCCTGTCCTGTCTGTTCCTAGAGTCCCTAGCGGGAAGATTGAATAAGGTAAAAGAAGGTTGGGTTGGGGCGGCATAAAGCCCTCCCAGGCTCACCTGCCCTTACCCCCAGGCCACAAGTATCAAGTGTTGCCCCATCTCCCCCTTCAGTTCAGCTGGGGGCTCAGGATAGCCCTGCACAGAACAGGGGGTACCGTATTACGGGAGATGACCAACTGGAACTCTGCTAGGCGGCTAGCTGCCTGAAGAAGGGCTATACCTTCCCTCTTCCCAGAGGCCTTCAGGGTGGGGCTGCACTGTGGAGGAGATTTCAGCTACTCTGTTGTCCAGGGCGAGAAGCCAAGGTGGAGCCAGCAGAGACCAGTGGGTGGACAATAGGGAGGGGAGATGGGGGGGGGTCCCTAGCTGAAAGCAGAAGGATTTTACCTGACCATTCCCAGCCTGAGAAATAAACACAGGCCTGATGAGGACCCCAAAGCCTCCAAAGCTGGCTTCCCCCGGGGCGGGGGGGGGGGGGGGGGGGGAGTCGGTAGGGGGGGGGGGGGGGGGGGGGGGGGGGGGGGGGGGCGAGAGGGGGAGAACAGGGGAGCTGGTGCAGCTGATGCCTGTCCCATGAGCCTCCAGCTACTCTCCAGTCCCAGTAGCACCCAGCCTCTATGACTACATACCCATCAAGGTGCTTAGTCCTTCGTTCCTGGCTCCCTGCCCCAGGAGACCCCTCTCGGGCCCCTTCTGCTCGGCCTCCATCTCCCAGGAAGCTTCTGTTCTGACCAAGGGCTTCCCCTCACAACAGTTAGAATGTGGCCCTGTACTGTTCTGAGATGGGTCAGGCAGGCAGGGAGAGACTCCCATAGGCCACCTCTCCATCAGCCCTCGTGGAAAGTGCTACTCTCCGGTCCACAGAGGAAGAAGCAGACTCAGTAAATAGAGGAGTCTGCCCCGGAGCCACAGCCAGTGGTGTCAGAAGAGGGATCCAAACTCCAGCAGCAGCAGAGGCCTCCCAATAGTTTTATTTCTGGACGGACGGGGATTAGGAAACCCAGGGGCTTGATATCTTTACAGCCCAGTTATAGGAGTAGGGAGCAGGCCAAGGGCTGGACGAGGGGAGGGAAGGGGAGGGGAGGCGGCCACTAGAACATGATCAGAGGCGTGGGAACCGCGCTGAAGGCAGTCAAAACGAACAACTTTTCTCTCCCACCTCCACATGCAAATTGCTGGGCTCTTGGCCAGGCTCAGCTCCATTTCCTGCCTGCAAGGCTGCGAGCTACATTCCTGCCTCTCAGCCTCCAAGTCCCACAGGGCCCGGGCCTGTTCCCTCTCCAAGAGCCCCCCTACCCTCCCTGCACCCCAGCCTCTGGGAGGAGGAAGTGAGTCTAGGGCCTCTGGGAGATGAGAGAAGAGGGGTCCTTAACCAGAAAAGGGCAAACGGGAACGGTGGAAGACGACGCCGGAACTTCTGCAGGCCTTTCCCAGCTCCCTCACCCTCTGAGGACTGGTGTAGCGTGGGATAACCCCTGCACTCTGGCCCTTCTATCCCAGTTCCGGAGAATGGTAGCATACCCTGCCACAAGGTTACCGTAAAGATTAACCGGGGTGGTACACTTGGGGCCGATCTGTAACATGCACTGCTCCATCCACAGTAGCTGTACCCAACATCCACAGGACCCCTGTGTTCCCCTGGCATGCATTCCAGGAAAAACTGGGGTGGTTTTTTTTTTATTTTTCAAGAACCCCCACGATGATCCGGGAATAAACAGGGTTGAAAATGCTGACAGGCAGAAAGGAAGTATAGGGGGTGGGAGGAGGCCAGAACCTGATCCCCCAGAATGACGGGCTGCCTGCCAGGTGCATCTTCGAGCTAGAGCCAGTAACAGGGCAGGATCCCTGGATTTCCTCTCCTCCCTCCCCTGCAGTACCAACCCCAACTCTCTGATCCCGCCCCCCCCACACCCATTTTGTAGTCCAAGGACTCTAGTTCCGTCCCTGTCACAAGCTGTGTGACTTTGGTTAAATCCCTTGGGCCCTCTGAGCCGCCATCCACACATCAGCCTCCCTCATAACGGACTGTTTAAGCCTGGCACGTTCCTCACACACCTTCTCCTGGTTTTCCTCGGCACCCTTCCCTTCCATCGCTGGCTGGTGGGTGAGTCTCCCATTCTCCTTTTTCTGTCAAGGCCGTCACGGACGGTTGAGTGGTATGTTCCCCCCACCCCCCACAACATCTTTTGCCTCCCAAAGAGGGGAGGACAAAGGGACACCCATGCTGCCCTGCAGCTTAGCTTGGTGCTGAGGTGGGCATTTGAGTCCCTGTCTCTCTCTGCCCTTTCCTGAGCCGTCTTTGCCGCCGAGACTTGTCGATGTAGTCCTCCCCAACCAGGAGTGAGACCCCATCCCAGGCCTCCACGTCCTCCCCCAAAAGAGAACTCTGCCAGCATTGACTGCCCAGTGGCACCTCACACCATGGTCTCCCCAAGCACACAGGGCCCCTCCTACATCCAGCCTAGCCGGGCTCGGCACGCCAGGCATGTCTGCCGGATGGAGGAACAGGAAGCCTGAGAGAGGCAGACTGGAGGCCGGGGCAGCAGGAGCAGGGCAGGGGTGAGCGGCTGGCCTGCCACTGCCTCAGGAAACGGAGGCTGGAGGGTCTACCACGGACCTTGTTTACTCATCAGGAAACAGAGAACCAGCAGGGAATCTGACTCACAATCCCAACCAGTCCCCGCCCCAGCCCTGGCTACCACCTGGAGAGGGGCGGCTCTTTTCACCCATGGAGGCTGGAGACATGGAGGGTCTTCCTCTCACCCAAGGGCTGTCTGGCCACCAGACTGGGACACGCCTGGAGGGCAGCTTCCCCACTGGCCTGCCTTCCTTACCACCACGCAGAGATGCCCTCCAGAAATTCTAATTCTGGCGGGGCAAGATGGCTTTTACCTATAACCCCAACACTCCGGAGGTGGAGGTAGGAGGGTAATTTATTCCAGGTCAGCCTGGGCTACACACAGAGTGAGCTGGAGTTCAAAACAAACAAACAAAACAAAACAAAGCAAAGCACATAGGGCCCCGTTCTGACCACTGCCCCCTTCTACCACCTTCTGTGGCTCTCGATTACAATAAGGCCAGCTACACCAGGCATCTAGCCTTGTGACAGCCACTGAAGTCAACAGCCCCACACGCCTCTCACCAT